TTTAAGTATCTTTCCATAGAGTAGTATTAAGCCTTTTCTCTCAAACGTTAACCTCAAAACTCTAGAGTCCCAGAATCCTAAAATCCTCTTTACCTTTTTTTCCATATCCCCCAATTTTTCCTCTCACAATTCAAATCAAAGAAAGAGCAGATAAATGTATGTCTCCCTTCATACTGTATTTTGTAATGATTACCTGAGAAGTATGCAACATGGAATGTAATAAAGATTTACTAGTAGTCAAATGGATTTAGTTGGGGACAACCTTCAGTAACTTTGTAATTCTGAAGAATCCCCCCCAAAATTTAAATTTATACTTACCAATATCTGTAAGCTATAAAGAAGAATAAATAGAGAATAATGGGAGCAGTATTGTGAATTCTTGAACCAGGATAATGATGTTTAGAGAGGAACTTAATCAGTTAACAAAACTTGTTGTAGACCCACTGGGTTTAAGGCACCATAGTAGGCAGTACTATGAAGAGTTGGAATTTGGATTTCACCTTTTTGTAGATTTATTTTTATTATGTTGAAATAAAATTACCCAGGTGAGCCATACAGGTACATTCGTTTTTAGTGCTCATTGTAAATTATTTATTGCAAAGACACATTTGGTTTTTAGTACTTAAAAAATAAAGGATATTGAATCAGTTGTCATTTGCTAAAACCAGTAGTACAGTTTGTGGATTATTTTGGCCTTTTTTCTTTTACTCTTTCTCCCTTTTGCTGTTTTCTCTTTGGGCCACTTCATTGCTGAAAACTTTCCACTGGTCAGAAGATAAAAAAGTCAAACTCAGGTAGGATAGTTAACTGATAACAGTTCTCTTTAAAATGTTGAGAGATTACATGAAATAAATCACTATAGCAAGTTTTGGGGGTTATATATTTGTATACTCCCTTAATTATCATAACTAATTACAAGTCATATGTCTAGAAGTACAATTAGAAAATGAGTGTGCTCACAATGAAACTAAACGTTTTATTTTCAAAAATACTTTCAACGTGATGAGCATAATTCCTCAGTGTTTAAATGGTTATCTCTTTTAAGTCCTTTCGTTATGTGGGACAAAGGCATTATAAACCATTTGGATTTACTGTTCCTTTGCCCAAAGCTACTTTATAAAGCCAAATAGTTAAACATAACCTCCAAAAGATAGGAAAATTAAACTCATTGATACTAGACTTCATGTCTGACCCTCCTTAGGTTATAATTTAATATTAACACTTTAAATTTGTTTAACTTTTTTTTCTTCAGTGATGAACTTTGTGATTTTTTTCCTAAATTTCCTATAAAATGCATACCAAATAAAATTTTTAAAAATATACTTGCTATGGTTTCAGAAACTCTAATGGCTTTGGTATTTATTATATTTTTTCACAATTACTCAAGAATTTTTCTTATTGCTACATAAAGATTTTAAAAAGTCTATTTTGGTTTATTAATTTAATTGTTATTTTTAAATGAAGTAGAACTAAGGTTCTAACTTTATTTTAATGTGCTTTGTTTTGTCCTAAACATTTTATATATTTAATAAACCATTATTTGGTAGGGACAAATGGGTTTTCCATCTCAAGTAGCCCAGAAGAAACTGCATCATGCATTAGTTATAATTCAACAAGAATTTGTGAGACAGTTGCTATATGCTAAGCACTAGGGAGACAGAGCAAGATAAAACAAAACAAAGAGCTAAAGGAATTTCCATCCTTATGGGGAAAACAGCATGTACAAATATAAATAAATACAAAGTAATTTCCAGTGAGAGAAGGCACAGATCTAATACGAAAAGCAGTTTAACAAGAAAACATGGATACTAGTGTGTGCAGTAGAAGGGGTAGAAAAGGGTAGGATCAGAAATTGAAAGGGATGGAGACTGACATAGATGGGTACCAGTTAGTAGGGACTGGCAGTTAGGTTTTGTGTCCTACAAATTGCTAGGATTCCACGTGGATTTGTAAGGGCAGTAGATTGTCACACCCTTTACAGCAGCAGTGATAATGTTAATGGCTTTCATTGGTCATGTATTTGTAGTCATGCACTTTATACATTCAGAATAAAAAATAAGGAAAGGAAATTCTAGGAGGCGAAAGTGTGAGATAATAGAATATTCGGTAAGGGCGTTTTTCCTTTTTGAAATATTTCAGAGAAGGTCATAAGAGAAGAAGAATGTTGGAGTAGAAAAAATGAATTTCTAGATAGGAGCTAGAGCTGCCAGCTGGACAAGAACTCTTACCCATATGTATGTAAAGTGTTTTGCAAACTTTAAAACCTATATAAAAGTCACTTATTATGATTATTAGCTGCCCTTTTTCAAAAGGAGTTTCCAATTTTTTTTCAATTTTTTAACATTTAGAAGTTTCCAATTTAGCTAATTTGCTTTTTTCTATGAGAAAAATTCTGTGGTTTTTATCATGAAAGTCAGAGGCAGGGCTACAGGTATTTGATTTACAAAAATCCTATTTGCATATGAGATTCCTGAAGGCAGTCTACTCAGTGAGGAGGAAATACTTAATATTAATAAATCTGTACCACTTTTATTGTTTGTAATTTTTTTCCAATTTTTGCTGTACTTAATTGAGTTTCATACTTTCAAATCTGTAAAATTTTTGACTTAGTGTAATCAGTCCAGATGTACTTCTTTTCAGTGGTCCTAGTAGATGTAGTTCATTACATGCCAATGGAATCATTAAAGAATAGAGATAGAGTTTCAGAGCAGGCAGTTTTAATTTCCCTTATACTCTTATGTCCAACCTAAGTTTTGAATGCTTTCCAAAAGAGAAAAAGCTGTTTGGTTTTTATAAATTGAAATCTGTTAGTAAGATCTTGTTAAAAATCTAGAACAGGAATTTACGTGTTGTTGTCTGACAAAACCACTGTCATAGCATATAGTAAGTTCTTTTTTTAGTCTTGCTCCTTTGCCCCCCAAAATTGATCATAGTAAAATTGAATGTAATCTTTAGCCCTGGAAGTCTTTGAGATCCCTTTTCCCCTTGCCTATTCTGTAGTCTTTCAAGTTTATTTTTATGACTTTTCACCAGGTTGTTATAAAACCTGGAACAGCTCATTATGGGCTCTTTGAAATTATTTCCCACAGCTGTATATGAAGATCTTTATCTCTTTTTTTTTTTGTATTAATCACATACAGCCTGATTTTCGTCCCTGCCACAGAACTATCTGTGCACATGCAGCATTCTCACTGACTTCAAAAGAAACTGTTGCCTTAAAAAAAAAATAAGCAGCTGTGTTAGGAGGTTGAAAATCAGACCTTGGTAAGATGAAGTTGAATATAGACACTTGTAGGAAGGATAATCAATCAACAAGCATTTATTAAGTTCCTACTGTTTGCTAGGAACTGTGCTAGATAATAGAGACATAAAGACAAAAATAAGATAGAAGAAAAGGGTATTTTAATGTAGATTTATCATTTTGTGTATTGAACCTGAGAAATATGTGGTAAAGATTTCATTATTAGTTATTACTAGGCTGTAGGCTTACATTTGTCTTGATGAGAAGCACTAAGAAATATATATATATATTATATATATATATATGAACTTCCTACACATACACACACCATCAAAATCCTAACTTATGCTAGAAGCCTTTCTGGATCCCCATTAATGGTACTGCCATCTCTCTGAAATTATCTTCAGTTTATCTTGTTTATATATTGCTGGTACACAGTTGTTTGCATGTTGTCTCCCAAATTAGAGTGTAAGCTCATTGAGGGCAGGGGCTATTTTTGTTTTTCTTTGTATCCCTAGCTCCTAATTCAGTGTAACACATGCCATACATAGTGAATAGAGCTGCTGCCTTTGACTGATACGGTATGTCTGATCATGGACCAGTCATTTAATCTGTCAAAACTCCAGGCAGCTCTGTAAATGTATGGGTAGCAGGAGAGTTGAGCAGTGTCACAGAAGCCAGGGTAGGAGAGAGTACTCAGGAGGAGGACATTGGCAATAGGGTTTTCATCCTACCTATCTGACTGCTTCTTCTCAGCCTCCTTTGCTGAATCATCTTATTCCTACCTACCATGTGTGGGCATCCTGAAAAGCTCAGCCCTGGGCCCTTTCCTCTATATTCTTTCTCTTAGTGATGTTATTAGCTCCTGTAGATTTAATTATCATCTTTGTGTAGATGACTCCCTAATCTAAATCCAAAATGGAATTGTTATTTCTCCCCAAAACTCCTTCACACTTCATCATTCCTGTTGATAAAACCGCCTTCCTGCCACTCACCTGGCTTTGAAACCTTGGAGCTATTCTTGACTCTCTTCCATCTACCTCATTTCACATGTCCATTCATTTGTGAAACCTACCTTCTTGACATCTTTTTGATCAGCCCCTTTCTCTCCACACAACTTCTACACTTTTTCAGGCCTTCACTAAGAGGTTTAAGGACTTCATCAGTGTCACACAGAGTCAGGTCAAGATTTAACATTTGGTCTTCCAGACTCTAAGCCAACTCTCTATATACTACACTACAATGCTTCTCATTTTTTTTTAACATTTTGTATTTTTTTACTCGAGCGTGTCTCATAACCTCCCAGCAGAATCTAAGCTCTTTTGAAAGCAGGAACTGTTTTCATTATCTTTGTACCCCTAGCACAGTGATTCCAAATGGTAGGGGACTAACAAATGCATGTTGAATTTAGATGTCACGGAGTTCAGCATTTCATCTCATGTAGATTGATATGGAAAAGTCCCAGAAGAATTTTTTGGAGTCAAATACAACTAGTAGTGGTTATTATTGTGAAAACATTTATTTACTGAAAATCATCACTGTCTTATTTAAACAAAATGTGGTTCTTTTCCAGTAATTTGGTTTAAAGTCAATGCCTAAGTGACTTCAAAAGACTTTGGGAAAAGAAGTAGAAAGGGAAGATTTGGGGGAAGTATGGTAAAATGCCATTGAAATTCACTTCTGTCTTCCTGGCAGCAAAGCTTTGGTATTCTTAACCTTAAATTCTTTAAAATTCACACATGTCTGATTATTGTTTCAGGCACCAAGAAAAAATCCAAAAAAATCTCCAAGGATGAAGAATCTCCAGAAGAAGAAGCTGAGGTTGAAAGACAAAATGTAAGAATTTGGAGATATCACACCCAATGGGCAATCAGCACGTTTCAGTAAAATATTTACTCTGTGTGCATATCTCAGCAGTGTATCTGAACATAAATGTTAACAAGTATATATTTAACTTTATCTCTTATATGAAAGGGGAGATTTGATCATTATTCATATGTAACAGTATATCCTTATCCATTTTGAAACTATTGGATATTTTCATAGGTTACTGGCCATCTTGGTGTTTCTTGTACATACAACTCAATTTCCTAGGATCTTAAGGGAAGACTAGTATCTCTGGTGGGAAAGCTGCCGAGCCTTTTTACAGGGCTGCTTTCCATCTTTGGTGTCCACCTGCCATCTAGTTCTCAACTGTGGCTCCAACCAAGGGGCCTCAAGCCTGTTTATGAGTTAAAGGGGTGTTTACCTCAAGCATGTGAAAACTTCCCCCAACATAATGGTCAGATAAGAACTGTTTGTTCCAGTGGCCATGAAGGCAGCTGAAGGAGGTGCTATGGAGCATCTGGAGCTTGATTAGATATTGAAGACTCCAAAGTCATCCAGTGCATCCTGAGCCATCATCAGTTGTCTTGATTTTTGTCTTGCCACTGGACTCTGATTTGAGGCTGACAACTTCACACAACTCTTCCTTACTTAAATCCAATTTATGTGCAAGTCAAAAGACATCACCCATACCATTTTACTATTTTTACCTACCTTAAAGTCCTGTGGTGATAGACAAATGACAAAACAGCAGGTACAGATATACCACATGCTGTAGTCACAACCCTGCATACGGGCGGCCCAGGCCATAGTGTCGTCATCTCACTGGACTGAAGCAGCAGTGGGATTTGGCAGTCCCGTGGGCATCAGAGCAGCCTTTTTTAAGGACCACACTGCTTATCTCCTGGCATGAGGAAGGGACTAGAAAAGGTGCCCTAAAAATTGTTTGCTCTCAACCCTGGCCTGCTTACTGTGGCAGGTGGGGATCCCACTCTATAGTCGAAACACAAAAAAAGTACAAAAACGTTTGCAAAGATGATTCTACTCACCACTGGTACATGGAATGAGCATGTGCTTGTGGACAACACAAAATCCAGCAAACCTGAAAGATGAACAGCTCTTGGTTCAAAAGAACTCAGCAGATGTCACATTCACACAGCACCACTGAGTGGAAATAAGGCTGGCAAATGAAGACCAGTTTACCAAAGTTGGAGCTGGATACACATTTTTGTGGAGTGGCTATGATGATGAGGAGCACTGTGAAGCTGGCATAGGTTTTGCCATCAAAACTCATCTAGTCAAGTTTGTATGCCTCCCAGAAGGAGTGAATGATAGGCTCGTGATAATGTGACTGCCACTTGCAGGAAAGCACCACACCACCATCATCAGTGCCTATGCTTCTACCATGACGAGCCCTCATCGGGTCAAAGAGAAATTTAATGAAGACCTGGAGACCCCTTTCATCAATATGCCAAGAGAGTACAAGCTTGTAATTCTGAGTGACTTTCATGCTAGAATAGGCTCAGATTATCAGACATGGCAGAGAGTCCTTGGGAGTAATGGAGTTGGAATAGCACCAGCAGTGGTCACTTACTATTTAAGACTTGTGCATCTCATGACCTCATCATCAAAACTGTCTTCCATTTACCTAAACACAATGAAACTTCATAGATTCACCCTCATAGGAAACATTGTCATTTAATAGACTATGCCATTATAAGAAAAGACAGGTTGTGAGAATGACAAAGGCAATGTGTGGTGCAGAATGCTGGACTAATCATAAGCCTTATCCTCTTGGAGCTAAATATTTGCATTCAACGGAAGTGTCCCTAAGGCAAGACAACTACCAGAAGACTTAATGTCAACAGAGTAGAGCACTTCTCTGTGTGGGAACAGTTTGTTGCTGACGTGGAGGGAAAGCTGAGCCAACAAAGGCTGGCAGCAGTGGAGCAGAAAAGGAGTAGGCAGCTTTCAGAGATTTGGTGTACACCATCCCATTTATTCATCTGGGCCAGAACACTCACAAACATCAGGGTTGGTTTAATGAAAATGATGGGAAAATTAAGAAGCTACGAAATGAAAAATGAGAACTCCACAGGGTTTACCAGCAGGGTAGTTTGTCCCTCTCTAAGAAGGCAGCATTTAACTCCATCAAAAGTAAAGCGCAAGCAAAACTTAGACAGATACAGGATTCCTGGCTCAGTAAGAAGACAGATGAAATTCAGTTTTACACCAATAGTATAACAATCCAGAGTGCTTTTATGATGCCCTGAAGGCTATTTATGGGCCAAAGACCTATGCTCCCTTTCAGCTGAGTGTTGATGGAGCCACATTGATTAGTGATAAGGACATGATCCTGGAGAAATTGACTGAACGCTTCCATAGTGTTCTCAACAGACCATCATCAGTCAATGCTGAAGCCACTGACTATATACTTCAGGTTGAAGTCAATCTGTCTCTAGATAAACTTCCAGCTGAAGAAGAGGTTTTGAATGCCATTAGGCTCCTCTCATGTGGCAAAGCACCTGGTGCTAATTTTATTCCAGCTGAGATTTATAAGGCAGGGGATCCACTGCTCATACAAAAGCTGACTGAAATTTTCTGGGTTCTGTGGCAAGAGGAGGTTATCCCTTAAGAGTTTGAGGATGCTTCTGTTTTCCATCTCTGTAAAGGAAAAGGAAGTAAGTTATCCTCTGACAATCACTAGGGAGAGGGGGTGTCTCTCTTAGTCATTGTCGGCCAGATTCTTGCCAGAGTGCTCCTTAATAGGCTTATCTTTCACCTGGAAGATGGTTATCTACCAAGAGCTAGTGTGGATTCAGAAAGGGTCAAGGAATAGGCAATATGGTGTTTGCTGCCTAAGAGCAAACTCTACGAAAAATATCAGGAGCAGAACAGAGGTCTATATACAATGTTCATCAACCTGACCAAGGCCTTTGATACTGTCAGTCTTGAGGACTTGTGGAAGATCATGGCAAAATGTGGTTGCGCAAAGAAGTTAATCAGTATTGTATACCAGTTTCATGACAGCATGCTGGCCCACGTTCTGGATAATGAAAAATGCTCTCGGGCTTTCCCAGACACCAGTGGAGTGAAACAGAGCTGTGTGCTTGTTCCCCAGGATGTTTTCCGACACTTTCAATGAGACAAAAATGGAATCAAGGTGAGCTGCAACAGTGACAGTGAATTATTTAACTTGAAAAGGCTAGATAAGTCAAAGCTAAAGTGCAGGGAGAGTTGGTACGTGACTTTTTGTTCACAAATGATTATGCATTCTGTGCATCTTCTGGAGCTGAGATGCAACAAGGTTTGGATCAATTTTCTGCTGCTTGTGCTAATTTTGACCTGACAACACCAAAAAAAACAGAAGTTCTCTACCAGCCAGCACCACACTATCCATACATGGAGCCATCGGTTACAGCAAATGTAGAAATTTTGAATGCTGTGGATAAATTCACTTACCTTGGCAGTAAAACTTCCAGGCATATACATGTAGAGGATGGGTTAGACACACGTATTACCAGAACTAGCTCAGTGTTTGGGAAACTTTGAAGGAAAGTGTGGAAAAGAAGAGATATTAGACTGCCTACCAAACCGAAGGTCTACAGAGCCATTGTGGTGACCTCATTGTACACCTGTGGAACCTAGACAGTATACTAATCAGTTTTTGTATGAGCAGTGGACCCCCTGCCAGGAAACTGAATGATTTCCATTTGCTTGTCTTAGGATGATTCTGAAGATCATGTGACAAAATAAGGTACTAGACACTGAGGTTCTCTCTCAAGCTGAACTGCCAGGCATTCAGACTCTACTGCAGAGAGCACAACTGCAGTGGGCTGGCCACATTGGTCAAAGGGCAAACATACATTTGCCTAAAACACTTTGACCAAGAGCTCACACAAAGCAGGTATTCACATGGAGGTCAGAAGAAGCAATACAAGGATAATCTCAAGGTCTCTCTGAAGAACTTTGGAATCGATTGTGAAACATGGCAGATATTGGCAGAGGACCACCCAGTGTGGTGTGCCCACATCGAAGAAGATTCTGTGCCCTATGAGCAAAGCAGAATTGCAGTAGCTCAAAAGAAACATGAGACACACAAATTTAGAGACATCTCCACTCAAAATGTTCACATGCACTATTAGTGCCCAACCTATAGGAAAGTCTTTCGAGCTCATATTGATCTGATCAGCCGCAGTCAGACACACTATTCCTTGGCTGCAATATAGTGATATCATTTTGGTCCTCTTTCAGTAAAAAGGACAACAAGCAATTCAATCTCCCAAATTCATACCTTTTCACGAGTTGTGAAACTTTCACAAGTATGTCTCCCCTACCTTGGATGTTTTCCCTACTCTGCTCTTCTTCCTGATTTTCTTCAAGACTCAGTTCAAATCCCACCTTCTACACAAATTCCTTCCTGCATTGTCATTTGTTATCATCGTATCCTGCCTTCTCTCCGAGATTGCCCTCCATTTACCATGTATGTATCTTGTGGGATCAATTATTTGCTTGTCATCTTTCTTATTAGAATGTTGAGCTCTTTGAATCTCTAAGATTTCTGTGTTTTTGTCTTTCTTTATGTTCCTAGATCTTTGCACAATGCCTGATATTTAATAAGCAATTAAATGCTTATCAGCTGATTTACTAAACACATACTAGTGAGTCAGCACACACTTTTATGACCATTAAGGTTAAGTGAAAGTCTTCTATTTTTCTGATACATAATGTGCTTTTACTTTTTTATCTTTTGTTTTTATATCATTTTCATTTCCCAATTATATCCATCCATCATTGCCTACCAAGTAAACTCTACCTTACAGCAAATAATTAAAAAGAAAGAAGAAAAACAATTCAGCAAGACTAATCAGCACATCAACCAAGTGTACCATGATGAGTAGTATTCTATACCCATAATCTCCACATCTGCAAAGAAGGAAGGAGGAAGGTTCACATTCCTATATCCCTTCTTCAGAATCAAGCTTAGTCATTAGAGTTTCACAGCATTCAATTTTAATTCTTTGTTCTTTCTGTTAATATCATTGTATTCATTATGTGTGATGCTTTCCTGCTTCTGTTTATTTCACTTTGCATCAGTTCATATAACCCTAACCACATTCCTATGTGTTCATATTCATCATTTCTTATAGCAAGGTAATATTCCATATACCCTGGTGTATTTTTTCCCATTCCTCAATGGTATCCGCTTTATTTATGGTACTGTGGTGCTATAAATATTTTAGTAGATGGTGAATGCTTTTACTATTGAACTCCTTAAGGGGATGCCTTGTATCTCTAGAATCTCTGGGTCAGAAGATGTGGAAATTTGAGTCACTTTCTTAGGTTAATTTCAAATTGCTCTCCAAAATATTTGTACTAATTCACAGCTCCATCAGCAGTGTATTTCTAATATATTTTCATAATGCAGTTTTACTTAATAAGAAGGTATCTGTTAGATTTGTTCACTATATACCAGAACTTAAAATAGATATATAAGATGTATAAGGTACAATTTAATTACTTCGGCTACTTAAAGTTGGAACTTGGCAGTATAAACAGTGCTGAATTTTGCATTTTGAGATTCTGGTGTCTTTCAAGAAAAGTCACTAATAATACAGAAATATTGCCAAACACTCAGTTAAAAACATGAAGTGCAGATTCAGGCAATGTATATTCGCCTAAAAGAGAGACGACTAAGGAAACTATTGCTTTAATCTTGGTTCTGTCAGCTATGTGAGCTTAGGCAAATCACAAACTCTCAGGGCCCCATTTTCCTCATTTATGAGCAGAAAAAGGTATTGGAATATAAAATCTCTTCCATCTTTAAAATGCTGAGAGTCTATGACTTAGGCACTATTACTGCCAACCTTGTTAATAGTATCAAGTTATAAATCACATAAAATGAGTTATAGGTGCCAAAGACAAACTGACAAATAAGCATTTCTCTATCCACAGTGCTCTATCCACTGCGCCACCTAGCTGCCCTACAGCCCTTTTATGACAGGAGAGAGACACACAAAGACAAAAAGAGAAATTATCCTATAAATTTAATTGATACAGAAAGTATCACGATATTATTATTATTCAGATTGCCAAGAGTTCTAAAATTTTCTTTTTGAAACAGCTCTCTTAATTCTTTAAATAAAATAAGGGTAAATGAAGATTTAAATATCACTTTATACTTAATTTTGTTCCATTATGTGTAATGGTATTTTAACATTCTTCTATTTATACCCCACATTAAATACACAGAAAGGATAAAGTCATTTTTCTTCAAAGACATTTTCCAACTTGTGTAAATTCAGAGATCAACATGTTTAATTAGTAAGGATGAAATGTTTAATCATATAGTCTCTGGGATATAACATTTATTTAGTGAAAAATAAAATGGAAGTCAGAGGGTAAATAGATATCATATTAGAGAAATAAATTATCAATTCCTGTTATTCAGAAAATCAGGAATATGAGAGAGGTTAATAGCAACATAAAATGCCTTGTGGTATCAGGTCACATTTCCTAGTTCACAGAGTCCTACCTGCAACGATTTGCCAGCCTAACTCTTTGTTTTAAAAGGGGTGTGTGTGTGGGTGTGGGTGTGTGTGTGTTTAGTGAAATGCTCTTTTGTTTTAAAATACAGACTTCCCCCCTCACCTGTTCTCAATGCTATAGTAGCTTCAAAAGACTTTTTACATTGTTGCAGTTTGAAGACTTCTGGTTTTCTTTATGATGGTCTGTAATCAGTTTACAAATGACAAATGTTACCCTGGAGCTTTAATGATTGAGTTCTCTGGTTATAGAGGGGACATCTGTGTCCCATACTCTATTGGAAGGAAATGTTGTCTATGTGAACTGTTCCTTCTTGCAACAGGCTGAAATGGCTTTGCTTATGATGGATGATGAAGAGGATGGCAGGAAACACTTCAATTACAACAAGATTGTAGAGCAACAGAACCTGAGCAAAAAGAAAAAGAAAAAACTCATGAAAAAGAAGGAACTATTGGAGGATGACTTTGAGGTAACCTAAGGGACATGCAAGTTAAATCATTCTTCAGTAGGTCAGCACTACTTCTGTGTAGAAATCCATCGTTTTTCTAAGAAAAAATTAAAACAAGAATAGGTTTGCAGTCAAAATCTTCAGTAATAGAGCTCCCTTGATAGGTTAATAGTCAGGTCTAAAACATCTCATGATCAAATTAGATTGTCCATAAAACTCAATGTGACTTTTTACTGACTTCTGTATTTTTTTGTTTAAAGTTAGTGCCACTGACCCATATTTAGTAGAGGGATATTTTGATTTATTTTTCCATTAATAATGATGTTGCTGTAAGCTATCTACACTTTCTTCCCTTTTGGAGGGGGGAAGGAGGAGGGTGTGTGTTTGCGCCTGCTTGTGCACGCTTGCAGCCTGCAGCATATGTTTTCAAAGTGGTTTGTGGCAGTTAGTTAGAGGGCAATCTGTGGATGTGGAAGAGTGAGTTTCTCTTGTGAAGATTAATGACCCACTTGGGGAATTTATCCATTTATTACCTTGACCTCACTAACATAATATATTAACTTATGGTTCTTACCTTTTTAATCCTTTTACTTACACCTTAGTTGTTGGTGTTTACTGACACCAAATCTAATCAGACAAAAAAAAAATTAGATTTAATGTGCTTAGTTTTACTCTTGAATCAAACCCCAATTGAAGAAATTTTTAAAAAGATTATAGATGCCAGGAAAAGAAAGATAAATTATTTTAATACCTTCTCTTTATCCCTGACACTCTATTAGTCAACGTAGGGGGGGGAAGAAAGTGAAAAATTATGTGGTTCCTACTCTCAGAGATCTTTCAGTCTGCTAGGATTTGATCCTTGACATTTGTTATTGCTGGATCATTTGAATTGATTTTATTCTTTCTGTTTGAATTTGCAGGTAGATGTTTCAGATACTCGGTTCCAAGCAATGTATACTTCCCACTTGTTCAACTTAGATCCTTCTGATCCTAATTTCAAGAAAACAAAAGCTGTAGAAAAAATCCTAGAGGAGAAGGCTCGACAGAGAGAACAAAAACAACAAGAACTTGCAAAGGCAATAAAGAGAAAAGAGAATGACCTGCAAAAGGAAACAGCAAAGAAATCCATAGATCCTGCTTTGTCAATGCTAATTAAATCTATCAAAAGCAAAACACAGGAGTTTCAAGCAAGGAAAAAACAGAAAGTCAAATAACTTGTTTGCTTTGATGCATCCTAAATGCATTTTCCTAAATTGAAAGAAAAAATTATTTTTAATGACTGAAGCTCTTTCTGGCATAGGAATTAAACTTTGATCTTGCTGACTGTTTTGATATTTTGATATTTTTCTCCATGAAGCATAGATTTAGAGCTAGAACAAGTCTTCGAAGCCAGCTTCTCCATTTTGCAGATGAGGGAACTGAAGCCTGGCTAGGTTGTGTCTTACTCAGCTAATAAGGGCAGAGCCTGGATCTGGAGAGGAGGAGCCCCAAGTCGGACCCCATCTCTCCAAATCCAGCACACTTTCCAGTGTACCATTTGCCTACAGGTTTTGTGTCTTTATACACAAAAATTTCTTATTTAAGTATATATATGAAATTGAAATTTTATGTTTTTCATAAAATCAAGTTGGATATTAAGTGAGAATCAGCAAACTAAATTTTAATGTATATTTAAAATTTTAATTTCTGAAGAATTGGAATTCTATAGAATCTTACATATATAAGCTTGTTAGGGCTAATTTGATATTATTTATTTACTGTGGCAAATTATCAACAGATCAGTCTGTTCATAGTAATCTGGAAGTCTCTTAAGTTAGCTTTTTTATCAAGCCTTAAAGGGTAGTCAAGAAGACATTGTATCCAAGTAGACAGAATACTGGCCTTGCAGACAGGGAGACTTGGATTCAAATTCTGCCTCTGTGATCCACAATTTAGTCTGTTAACCTCTCTGAGCCTCAGATAACTCTCTTAAACTTATCCAGTACATTCTAGACAGGTTGCAATCTGTAATGGTGGTGCAAGTTCCCACTGTTAGTTAATAGACTGATAGTTGGCCTATTGACATCTTTTGAGGTAGTAACCTAAGACCTTTCTTAGAAACGTACATATATGGTTCTTATATGTTTTTTATGAATTTAAATTTTTCAACAAACATTTGAAGTCTTTTTGTTCACTTGTTCTACTTTAAGGAAGCAAGTCAGCAAATGGTAAGGAAGTGGATTGTAGATGACTTTTTGAAGAAGCTTGGCAGAGAAGGGGAGAATCAAGTGGGAAAGGAGCTAGACTGAATAGAAGGATCAAGAGATGTCTCTTTTCTCATTTATCTGTTTTTAAAAAAAAATTCCCTAGGGGAAAAATCTGGAAAATGAATTCAAACATGAGAATAACATAATGAAGATGAAAAGCAAGTTCATATTCTAATAACTATATTTAAAATGTTTGTGAAGTCTTTTCCAGTGATTTTTCTTTTTGCAGTAGTGGAGAGTTTTTTTGTCTGACCTTCAGCTTTATGATGGAGTACTTTTAAATAGGTGGGTGTGCTGCTATAAAACTTAAGAAAAGTTCAGTTTTTAATATTTAAAATCTTTGGTCTCATCTGTTTTAGGTCTTATCAACTAATAACTGACCACTTGTAAGAGTCAATATTGCACTTCAGTAATATATGCACAAATAAAATCGGAATGGTCAGTAGGAGCAAATACTAAATGTGGGAGTTTCAGGAATGCAAAAGGAGTTTGGCTGGTTTTGTGGGTTAATAGTAAATGTGGCATATTTTTAAAATTCAGGCTCGCAGATGTAGCATAATTTTGCAGTGTATGGGGATGCAAAACTCATTAGTGTGGTATCAAAGAAAAAAAGCCTTTGAGCAGGAAAAAAAGACGGAACATTTGAATTGTTTATAGCTAGCTGCCAGAACTTTGGAATGCCTGAAAAGGGAATTGTTTTTATTATAAAGCAGTGACACTATTAAATTACCCAACTGTATTTACCAGTTGGCTCTACTCAGTTTGGCTTTACCCATTTTACCTTTCCATCTGTCTATATTAAATCCTAACACTTGCTTAAATACTCATCAGTGACTTTAATACATTTTATAATTAATTTGTTTATGAACAGTTTACGATAGTTTATCCAGTACATATACATATATACATGTTGCTTAGTCTCAGCTAGGCCTTCCCTACTCCCTCAAACTGCCTGTTTCCTCAGGCTACTATTCTAAATCTTTTCTTTCTACTTCATGTAGCAACCACATCTCCATACCCAAAACATAGAAGCAGGTAACTTAGCTTCCTGCTTCACTGAGAATATTGAAACCATTTGAACTCTATGCTACATCCCTTGGAAATTTTATTCACTCCCAGGACCTTAACAGTCACCTCTATTAAGATGATTCCCAAATCTGTATCACCAGACCTAACCTCTTTCACATTCCAGATCCATATCTAACTGAATAAAGAATGCCAACTACATCTGAAGGTCCCATAAGGACTTAAACTCATAATGCCCAAAATAAAATTTATCTTTTTCTCCTGACGGCACTGCCTGGTCTCCTATATTTGAGCTTAGTGATGTTACTCTGCCTCATCTCTTGTTTCTGATCAATTTCTAGGACCTGTTGACACTCATATAATATGTCTCATAACCATGCTCATCTACTACTATTGCAACCATCCGTATTATCCACTTAGCCTGTTGCTGTAGCCTACTAACAGGCTTTCACCCACTAATCCATTCTTCACTAATTCAGCCTTCATTACTAATCTCATCTTTATCCTTAGATCTTTTTGCACTCAGTATTCAGGGGCCCCCATTTTCTATCTTTCATTCTACTTCCCTCCATGTTTTCTGTATTCTAGCTAAACTGAATCATGCTGTCATGTTCTTTACAGTTGCTTATTTTGGTCACCAGGCCTGAAATATTCTCCTTAACTCCCTTTCTCCCTGTTGAATTCCTGCCCATCCGCCTATCCTTTAAAGCTCAACTCAAAATCTACCTCTTCAATGATGATTTCACCCCTCCCTTTCTTCCCACAAGCATCCCCAAGGGTATTTAGTTCTCCCTAGCACATTTAGAATTCCATTTACAGATAACTTTTAAAGAATATATTACCTAAAACAAAATGTAATAGTAAATATTATCTACAGCTATGTAGTAATTGGACCTCTTCCCCAGCTGCCCCCCACCCCTTCCCTCCCTCTTCCTCAGACCTGGACAGTACTGAAGAAATACTAATCTTATGGACTGGTGTCATAAGTAGTCTTAGTCTTTAACTTCCAGCGAGAATGATAGGACTTTTTTCTCCTTTTGAATACAATGTGACCTTATTCTTATAGCCTTTAAATAGTACATCTAAAGATGTGAAAGCAACTTGATTATCTCACCGTTGTTGCCAGTACCTAGCATTGTGTTTACCCTGCACAAAGTAGGCTGCTAAGTACTTGAATTAATGACTGAGATAGAACAAGTAATATTACCTCTGTTTTACAACTGGGGATACATAACCCATATTTAAGTTAAATTAATTTAGTAACAGAACTGGAATTAGGCCTTGTGTGTCTTGACTTCGGCTTAAAACTCACTTCTCTTAGATCACTGATACGTATGCCATGGCTCTTGAATATTTATGTATAATATGAAACTATTCCAAGAATTAAGATTTCTGTATTAATAATGGTAACATTTACATAGCATTGTTAAAGTTTGCAAAAAAATTTACAAATATTACCTTTTATCTTTACAACGGACCTGGTAGGTAGGTGCTGTTATCCCATTTTACAGTTGAGGAAACATAAAGACTTAACAGAGGTTAAGTGATTTGCAGTCACACAGCTAGTAAATTTCTGAGTCTGGATTTGAACTTGGGTCTTCCTGAATCTAGAACTAGTAAGCACTCTATCCACTGAGCCACCTAGTTGCCTCATGATTAGAATATCATGCTATACTGAATTCTGTAAGACTCACAATGAAGGTATTTTTAGTAAATGGTAATTTAAAATGTGACTCCAGAGTCACATAACTGTGGGTACCATTACATTAGACTGCTGCCCCCAGATCCAGACTAGGGAGGTCCTGCCCTTACTAATGTCACGAGTCTGAGGAGAAGATAGATATTCCTGAATTATTCCTGGTTGGAGACTTTCTATAACTTTTTGATTTGGAAAAGGGCATTGGTGATAGTTATCCCACTTAATAAGTGACAATTCCAGTAACCTAGAATTAGGTAAATAATTCAATTGAAGAGCCCTTTATTATGTATCTGGTACAATAATTATGGACTTTTCCATTTGGCATTCAAGTTAAATCAGGTCTTTATTTTATTTTTAATCTATAATCACCACTAACTCACCTCTTCTAATGTTAGCTCTGGTGCACTTTAGTTGTTTTCAGTAATGTCCAACTCTTCAAAGGGGTTTTTGGGTTTTCTTGGCAAGGATACTTGGTGTGGTTTGCCATTTCCTTCTCCAGTTCATTTTACAGATGAAGAAACTGGGGCAAACAGGGTTAATTGACTTGCCCAGGGTCACATGGCTAGTAAGTGTCTGAGGTCAGACACTTCAAAAAACATTTCAAAGTTTTATTAATGAAGAGGCTGCAAGTGTACCTAAAATAACCTTCCAAATTGGGCACAACGAAAACAATGTGGCTGCCATTTTTAAGGACTTTTTAAAAGGTATACTGGATATCCTGGGTAAGTGGCTGAAGGTTCTCAGTGAGTATCGAATTGATACATATTTTACTGTTGTTGGAGCTAATTACAGATCCTTGATTCAAATGATGTACCAGCAGGGAACTTGTACCACATAGCTTTAGGAAAAATGCATTTTAAATGTAAAAGCAGATCATTTGAGCTGTATTCTACTTTTGGTAAAATATTTGTAATGATGGGAAATTTTACGTTTATCCACACAACACTTTTTTTTATTTAATCCTCTCTAATCTCACTCTAAAGGAAAATGCAGTTTCTTACTCAACTCAGAATTCCTTTATATACCAAACGTAATTTACATCTTTAGAAAATGAAAGAAACAACTTCAAGAAAACTGTAAAACTGATATTTTTGTTCCCCTGGATTTTCTGACACTTTCCATTGTCATACCCTTTGGACAAAGGCAACATGGTAGAATAGAGAGAGAACCGATCAGGAAGACCTAAGTTAAGGTCCTTTCTCTGACACATGTCTGTGTGACTATGAGTAAAATCTTGCAGTGCCCCCAGACAGCTCTGTAAGATTAGAAGTTACATTAAATGATAATTATCATTTGTAATTATAAATGATAAAACAGCCTTCAGAAAAACCTGGGAAGACATTTATGAAATGATACAGAGTGAAGCAAGCAGAACCAAGAGAGAAATGTATACAATAACAAAAAACGTTTTAAAGACAAATTTCAAAGACTTAATCCTGATAAATGTAATTGCAACCATGATCAGAGAAAACCAATGATGAAGGCAATTAGATAGTGCAACAGCTAAAGCACTGAGCCTGGAGTTAGAACACCTAGATTCAAATTCCACCTCAGGCATTTACAAGATGTGTGTTCCTGGGCAAGTCGATTGACTTCTGCTTGCCTCAGTTTCTTCAACTATAAAATAAGGGGGATGACAGTACTTACCTCCTAGGGTTGGTGTGAGAATCAAATGAGATAATTTGTAAAGTGCTTAGCACAGTTCCTGGCACATAGGTGCTATATAAATACTTTTTCTTTTACTGCTGCCCTTCCCCTTTCCTGACAGATAATGGAATCAGAATGAGACATGTTTTTTGGATATAACTTATGTGAAAATGTTTTGCTTAACTGTGCATAGTTGTTATAAGGGTTTTAGGGAGGAAGAGAAAATAGACATTGGGTTATGCTTTTTAATTAATTTTTTAAAAAAGATTAGAAGTTGATCTTCATGATTGGAGGGAGTTTCTATACTAAGAATTCCCCCCACCAATGAAATCATAAGTCTGGGCCAAAATTTCATTTGAAATTGGTAAAGCTATATGGCATGGATTTACCTGGGTTTTTTAAATGAAGTTTTTGGCAGTTGGGAAAACAATAATCTCTTGCTATTTTTGATCACCATTAAAACATTTTAAATTGTCCCATATAATTCTATAATTTACAACTCTCTCAAATATATATACACATACTCTCAACACATATACATATGTGTATATTTGTATGTATACATGTATGTATAAAATGAGATGTGCATAAGTAGAGATAGTCAAATATTGACAAGTCTTTTTCAAGTTACAATCAAGGTGACTTTTTTTTTTTTTAAGGAGAGAGCCTCTGGTACTTTACGTGCTTTCTCTTCACTCAGCAAATTGGTAATACAGTCTAATAATGCCAGTGATTCAACATCATGTGTTTGAAATTCTTTTCCAAGACTTGTATGGACCGATGCTGAGTGAAGTGGGCAGAACCAGGAGAATGTTGAACACAATAACAGCCACATTGTGCGATGACTAACTTTGATAGACTTAGCTCTTCTCAGCTATGCAAGGATCTAAGACATCTCCAAAAGTCTCATGATGGAAAATGCTGTCCACATCCAGAGAAAGAACTACGGAGTTTGAATGCAGATCGAAGCATACTATTTGCTCTTTTTTTTCTTCTGTTTTGTTTTGTTTCTTCTTTCTTGTGTTTCTTCCTATTGGTTCTAATTATTCTTTACAACATGACTAATGTGAAAATACATTTAGTAGGAATTTATATGTAGAACCTATATCAGATTGCATGCTGTCTTGGGGAGGAAAGCGAGGAGGGAGGGGGAGAAAATTTAAAACTCAAAAGCTTATGGAAGTGATTGTTGAAAACTAAAAAAAAATTAAAATTTTTAAAAAAAATTATTTCCAGTGGTAATGATGGATTTACACCCTCATTTGATCCCCTTTAGACCTAACTATTAAAGTTAGGATGTGACCAATGGAAACTAATTAGTGCATATTGATGACCTTGCCATAATTAGCTTAACTGAATAACTGGTGGTACCTATAATCATAAATTCTCAGAGTCAGAAGAGCTCTCAGAGATTCTAGTCCCATGGGCACTAGAACAAAAATACCCTCT